CCAAGCCAAGAGTGATGCTTCTCCATGGGGGCATCCGGCAGTTGTACTCCAGGTGTTCATGGTCCACACAGTGGAAATTTATGAATTGTTTCCAATGCATACTTTGGATAAACGATGTGCCGCATTTTCAAATCTCGCATATTATTTGTTCTTTATATAATGACATTGTTTAAATCTAAATATGTGGGTTTTGTATTAATAATTACTATGAAATGACATAAAATATTTACCAAGAAATAGTTATCTTGGAATGTTATCTCTTACAAAAAAGCAAAGTTCTTCATCAATTCATTATAGTCAGATCTATAGCCATATCATTTTTTTTTTAAATCCTCACTCAAAGACATTTTTGCATTTATCTTCAGATAGAATGGGAGGGAGAGGGGGGGGAAGAGAGAGAGAGAAACATCGACATGAGAGAGACACATCGACAGGCTGCCACCCACACAACCCCAACCAGGGCCGGGGACAAACTGCAACCGAGGTACATACCCTTAGCAGGAATTGAACCCGGGACTCTCTGGTTCGCAGGCCGATGCTCTAAGCGCTGAGCCAAACCAGCCAGGGCTATAGCCATATCATTTTTAATTGGGACCTCAAGAACTTGAGGGATCCACCCACACCTATAGGTATTGCAGGCAAAGCCAGATGGCAACTGTGTGGTTTGGCTTCTGTGCCCTAGGAGGCTAATTAAAGTTCAATCTAAAAATTCCTTATGAGATTCCAGCAAAGCAGATTTAAGAGAGCCTATATGATCAGTTGCTATTCTTGTGTTCATGCAAATCAGGCCAAATTGAAACTAGACTTAATAAAGTAAATAAATCGGTCTTAATTTGGCTCTGATAAAAAATGAGGATGATTTTGGAGAGAAAAATTGTGTTTCAATAGACTCCATAATACACAGTTGTGGATATTAGACTGTAGCTCAGCTAATTGTCTTCAAAGTTTTATTTTCCACCCAGGAACTAAACTGAACTAGATCCTGAATTTTTCTAGTTTTCGTAAATATTTGACTACAATCCTGCAAACTAATGTTTCCTTTGTCTCCCATCCTTTGACTGGGAATTATTATGAACTAAAACTTTTCCTTTTATCAGACCATTTGTCATAACTTTTGTCATTCTAGCTTTTGCCCCAGTAATACTGAAATTTGTAACACAGTTTGTCTTCACCAGGTTCCAAGCTGTACTCGTACCCAGGAGGTACACCACCTAGACACCATCACAACCTCCTTTTGTGCCGGGCCCCATTACCCCTCTGACAGAGAGCAAGCATCTCTTGGCTCTGAAGGAGAGCATCATTCCTCTTCAGCAGGGAGCAGTTACAGAAGGGACCCTGCACCCCTTTTTCTGAAAGAATTCAGAGTCCAAATCCTTGAGGGGGGATGTAATCGGCAGTTAGACAGACATGAGCAGAGCAAGGACGATGGGCCAGAGTGTCACCAGGGTGGAAAGCCCCAGGTACCTAGCAAAAGGCAAAACAGGGACCTCGCCCCAAGGTAACCTTTCCTCCCCCAGCACCAAATGGGTTGTTGGTTCAGTTCCCAGTAAGGGCACATGTCCAAGTTTCAGGTTCAGTTCCTGGTAGAGAGAGTACAGCAGGCAGCTGATCAACGTTGCTCTCACATCAATGTTTTTCTCTTCTCCTTTCCTTTCTCTCTCTCTCTCTCTCTCTCTCTCTCTCTCTCTCTCTCTCTCTAAAATATCAGTGAAACTATACTTAAAAAAAAAAAAAAAAAAAAGCTGGGCTGGTGTGGTTCAGTAACTTGAGCATCCTCCCATGGACTGAGAGGTCCCAGTTTGATTCCCAGTCAGGGCACATGTCCGGGTTTTGGGCTCAATCCCCAGTGAGGGGCATGCAGAAGGCAGCCAGATGATGTTTCTATCTCTCTCTCCCTAAAAATAGATGATAGATAGATAGATAGATAGATAGATAGATAGATAGATAGATAAAAACATATTTAGCCCTGGCCAGTTTGGCTCAGCAGTTGGAGCGTCGCCTGTGGTCTGGAGAGACCCGGGTTCAGTTCCCGCTAAAGGCATGTACCTCGGTTGCAGTTTGTCCCCGGCTCTGGTTGGGTCATGAGGGTGGCAGCCACTTGATGTGTCCCTTTCATGTCAATGTTTCTCCTTGGGTGAGGATAAAAACTAAAAGTAAATAAATAAAAACATATTAAAAAAAAAAAAGATAATGACCTGGCCAGTTTGGCTCAGCAGTTAGAGTGTCGGCCTGTGGACTGGAGAATCCCAGGTTCGGTTCCCGCTAAGGGCATGTACCTCGGTTGCAGTTTGTCCCTGGTCCTGGTTGGGGTCATGTGAGAGACTCGGTGTGTCTCTCTCACATTGATGTTTCTCTCTCTTTCTCCCCCCCCCCTTCCTCCCATTCTATCTGAGGATAGATGCAAAAATGTCCTCAAGTGAGGATTTAAAAAAAGGGATAACATCTAAGCCCTAGGCCTCACTTGCATTTCAGCTCTGGGCCCAGAAAATCAGCAAACCCAGTCGAGTAAGGCTGTGGCTGCCTGGGAACCAGCTGCAGTGACTAATGAGTCCTTGCTCTGGCGCTGACCAATCAGCAGAGACCACAACCCTGAAAGCGCACACCTGAAAAGCTGATAGTCTATGGAGGCCCACCCCTGAGACCTCGCCTAAGATTCCCACCTGCAAGAGAGAGCTAAATGCCCTCAACACAAAGCACCCAGCATGCACTCTCCTGTAGGGGAGCACACCCACCGTGCCATTCCCTTCCTCCATTCTTCCCTCTAAGGAACCGCACGAGACTCTCGCAACCAGGGGAGAAGTGGGCAGCAGCAGCTTGTTCTGACCAACCCCCTGAACCTGCCTCCAGCCCAGGCTCGCCCATTGCTGCTTCTCATCCTTCCTTGTTTCTCTGTCCTAAGTGTGTTTTTGCTGCGGCCAATACATTCTTGCTTGCTTTGCTGCACTTTGTCTCTTGACTGAAATCTTTCCTTCAAGAAGATAAGAACCTAGGTCTTGTCTTACTGGTAAGAAAAGTATCCACAGTAGCAGGCTCTGTGACAACTACTACATGTTCCCTTAAATAGGCTCACATGTATCTCTACAGCTCTAGAGGCTCTGGGTCTCTCTCTCTCTCTCTCTCACACACACACACACACACACACACACACACTCACACACGTTGTTTAAAACTTGGTCTCAGAAAAGTAGAAGAGCGGGGGTCGGGGATTCTATAGGGCAACACTTCAAGAACCATTCCGCAGGCATAAATCAGTGGTTGTCCTGAGGGTGGAATGATGTACCCTTTCCCAAGTAAGCAACATAGACTATTTGGGGAAAACATGCTCTGGAGTTTTTCCAACTTCAGTGGAATATTATTAAATATTAAAGTCCAATATTACATTTCATAAAAATCATTGCACTCCACTCCAGGCATATTTGCTAATTAGAATAAGAAAAGGACCTTCAACTAGAGCTTTTGCTCTATCAAAAACTCCACTCCAAGGCCTCTACCTGGTGCTGTGGCTGAGTGTGAGGTTCAAGTTTACTAGCTCTGACCTTGAGGAATGTGTAGTCTAGTTGACAAGAAAGACTTAGACTTGTAGCAAATTAGGCAGCATCAGAGATTCATATTGGACACAAAGGAGATAATTTTGACAGTAAAGATTATTAAACAAAGAAATGGGCTACCAAGGAGGAAAAATCCCATCTCAGAAGGAATGGGGGGTGGGAGGTGGGTAGAAGGTACATTGACTGTATTGAGCCTTAAGGGGACCCCCTGGGATCTGGTGACCCAGTTAATTTGGGTATGTCTAAACTCACTTTGTTCCCCTTTTATCTGAGAAATAGAGTGAAGAAATAAAATGGAGTCACTATAGTCAAGCTGCTCAATTACTAAAATCAAGTAGGATGAGACATGAGGCAACAATTCTATTCTTGTTTTAACAACCTGAGAAATTAAACTTTTGAACTTTCTAATCCTTCATCAATGCCTGGATATACATCAGACCTCCTGGGTATACATCATACCCCCCGGGAGACTAGGGAAAGAATGTTCCCATATCCAGACCACCTGAATTCCACTATCCAGACCACTGGTCATCTAGAAGATTACCCTCTCAGACCAATCCAAAGGCTAAGAACACAGAACTGATTCTTCTCAACAGTGTGCTTTCTACTATAGAAACTGTTAGCTTTCCTTTCTTCTTTGGAACACTCTGAGTATTGCCTAGTTGTGTCTCCAGTTTGCAAACCCTAAGACCCTTGAATAAATCTTTATCGTTTATCTCTAGCCAAAGCCTCCATACTCTTTTTGAGTTTGTTCGATATGTCTGCCAACCATAGTTACCCAAAGCATGGTTCCAGGCAACTCAAAGAGAAACCAAAATTAGACTCACAGTAACAGCACTTTAAATTGCTGTAGTCTCCTGACTACTTCAGGTTGGGTCACACATCCTCATCTGAGAGGCCCAGGAAGATGTCAGGACTTGCCTCCCATAAGCATGGGTGTGTGTGTGTGTGTGTGTGTGTGTGTGTGTGGCGGTGTGGTTTGAGGTGGTGTGTGTACAGGGCGAAGAATCAGGACCAAAACTTCTCCTGACCAGGCTAGTGGTGGTGCCAAATTTACTACACAGGTGAATCTAATACTTCAACAAACAAAAGGGCCCCTTTGCTGAGTAGCTTCTAGCAGCAGAAGCAGAAGTTCCTAAAACCAGGCTTTTTTGGTGCCCACAAAGGCATTTTACCTTCCAGGTCCTCCTGTCCACTTTCCCCCTCAAGCCTTCCATTCCTCATTTCCCCCTGGGGACAGAGTCCCTGTGAACTGAATTCTCACAGGGTCCCAAACCAGTCAGCTCCGAAGTCAGGCTTTTCCATTCTCCCCCACGCCCTCCACCCACACAGCTGCGGTCACTGGGCCCAGCCTCTTTTGCAACTTTCCCAAGTCGGTGCATGAGAGGGAGAGGAGGAAAACTCAGGAGGAAGTCACTTGGCCAGCAAGCTCTTTTGTTTTTGACTCCTAAAGCCTTTTTCTTCTGACCCGGCTGAGACTGTTGATAAGACGAGACCCCCAGACGCAGAAAGAACTCTCACCTGGCCCGGAGGCTGGATGCTAAGCAACCACAGCTGTAAGTGCCCTGGAAGGTTTTTGTTTTGTTTTTTCTTCTCTTTTGGTTCTTCTGTCTGTCCCGGCAGCCCCCAGACGATTCTGTGTTTGAGAGGGGAGGAGTGGAGGCAGGCGATACAAGGATAAGGCTTAGAATCTGGCAGCTGAGGGCTTGGATCCAGCCCACAGACCCTCACACAGGAGAGACTCCCGGGCATGGCAGAGAGCCAGGCAGAAAAGACTCCCCATCCAGCGCAGGGAAGTGGGGCCCCGCTCGGGGCTCTGCACAGGCCGACGCAGCTGCTGGCACAGCCAGGGGAAGGACAGCCAGAAACTAGAGTCTCTCAGGAGGGCTGAGTCCCGCTAGCACGGGGACTCATAAGTCCCCTGGGCACATCCATAAACTACCTTCTGGGATGAAACCATCTCATCCAAAGAGTCTCATTGGGAAGGGGAAAACCCTGCAGTAGGAAAGTTTTCTTCTTGTTCTAAATCTTAAATATGTCTCTTAGCACAGCGCTGCCATGCTAAGTGAGCCAAAGAACCATCAGACAGACCTGGGTTCTAGTCTCAGCTTGCCTCAGGAATCCACTGGGCTATGATGGCATTTTGTAGATTGCAAAGTGCCCTGTAATTGCTAGGCATTATACAGTAATAAAAATAATTTATTTGGGCTTATCTATCAAACCCACCACACAAGTCCCATGGAGAGAGTACCTTGTCTGTACCCTCAGTCTTATATAGTGCTGATGAATACTAGGCCTACAGTACATGTGCTGGACAGACAGACAGATGGATGATGAGTGGGTAGATAAATGGAGATGGATGAATGAATAGAAGGATGGACAGATGGATGGGTAGATGGAGATGAATGGGTACATGGACAAATGACTTTTAAATGAAGATTCAACATTCCCAGCATGGGTCGGGCTCTTTGGAGGGATACAGAGAGGCGTGAGGCACTGTCTACTTTGGGAGCCGGACTAATACTCCCAAGGAACTTAAAGAACGGGAGTGCTGAGCCGCTTGAACCCAGCACTGCTGGTGCACTTCCCGGAGGGAGCAGGTCTAGACCCGCTGGGGTTTAGGGGGTAAGGCAGAGTCATGAGCCTTCCCGGGAAGCCATGAAGCCCTGTGCTCCCCAGATAGCCTCTTCTCAAAGACACACTTTACTCCCAAGGTTGCAAATCCCACTATATTTTAAAGTGGATGCAGCTGTCATTTCCAAGGCATAGGAGCCGGGGAGAGGAAGCCCGGAGAGTGGTATAAGATAGCACAAGGGAGTGGAGAAACTGCCTTAATTCTCTCCTCCCCTGCTCACTGGTCTCCCTCCTCCCTCCCCCCTGCCAGCAGAAATACCCCTCACTCAACACGAACAGGCAGAAGATGCTGCCCAAGTCCTGGTCGGCCCAGTGGGACAGGAAGAGAAGGGCATTTGTGAGAGCGCAGCAGGTCCTAGAGTTCCTGTATGACTTGCCCCAAGACCTAGGGCTTTTTAAAAAAAAGTGTGTGTGTGTGTGTGTGAGGTGGTGGGGGGCGGAGAGAGAGGCATCAGCTCAGTCTTCCGTACTTCCCCAGGGACCGAGCTACCCCAGAGCTTTGGCAGATGGGCAGGGCCAGGGCTCCAGGCTTAGAAGAGCTGCCAGGCAAGAGGAGGAGAAGAGTTAGTCACATGCGATGGAGAGCGGTGGCCCGAGTCTCTGCTCTGTGTGGACATGAGCTGGCCAAGGCGGGGCCCTGCATTCCAAATCTGCTTTTTACTATAATCTAACCATGGAGGGTGATGACTCAGCCTGGCTGGAAGATGCCCAGGTTTGAAGCAACCGAGTGATCTGAATGGGTGGGAGGAGGCTTAATGCCCTTCCTTGCCACAGACACGGTCCTGGTCACCCTTGTGTTGCTGCCACTCGTCCTGGGCCCAAGTACCAGGCTATTTTAAAGGGCAACCTCAGCACATCCCTGCCCTTCTGGAAGTGGGGTCAGGAATCTGCTGTGGCAGCTCACTTTAAGGGCACATTAGGGGAAGGGGACTGGGATGGGATGAGCGACGAGAATCTGGAGAAGAAAAGACTCAAGTAAAATTCAAAGACAAGCCTTTAAACCTCAGAAGGGCTGGCATGGAGGGGAGTATTTTGTATGCACCCCCCACCCAGGAGAAATCCACCCTTAGTGGGGGGAAGAGCTCTGTGGAGGCGGGTCTGGCTCCATCTTTCCGTGGAAATGCAGATGGCTCACACTAGGTGGGAGACTGGACTAGATGGCCTTCCTACAGGGTGCTGGGTGGAGCAGGCTCCCCTGGGGTTTGAAACAAGCCATGTGGGAATATTTACACCGTAGAAAGTGTCAGGCACAGCGAATCCGCCGCCTCCTCGCCCCACCCCACGCCCAGTTGTTACTCATTTATCTGGGTCTTCCCCAATTCGGGGAGCCAGTTCTGCTATGAGAACATGACACGCGCCACTGTGCAGAAGAAGCCACAGGCATGAGTGATGTCCATTCCACCCACGAGGGAGCAGACTCACCAAGGTTAAGTAGCCCACGGCAGATGTAGCACTGAGATGAGAACTCACGAGCACTCCGTGGGACTAGGCAGCTTCCCTCTCCTGCCCGGGCACAAAACGCTTCATCCTTACAGAGGTCACACTGAGATGACTTTGGACTGCTATCCATCTATGTGCTCTATTCAGAGAAATGCTGTCTTTATTTGACAGTTTTTAATTATAATAATTTAAATATAAGACATATAAAACAATAGCTCTAACCTCTAACCTACCTTTCCCCACCTCCTAGCAAGTATTTAGTGTGTATCCATCCATAGCTTTCTGTTTATTTATAAGACAAATGTAAATATAATATTAAACAGTCACACATATAGGGTTGCTATTTGTTTTTATACAATGAAGGTCATACTGTACAAAACTTTCTTTTTTTAAACTTATCATATCTTTCTGCTTCATTACTACTTCGGTCCCTGTTCCCTCCAATCCCACTGTACCTCTTGTCACTTTGGCTGTCTTTCTCTCGATCTCCTCCAACTCTACTAGGGTTTTGTTACACTCACCAAACCTGAGCCCAGTGTCCTGGATCCTGTGCATACAGGTGTTATGGGTTTATGCTTAGGAGGTGGGGAGGCTACAAGGCACAGCTGGTCCATGTGCTCCCTGGGTGCGCCTGGATGAATGACCAGTGAGTTGGCTTCTTGGAGCCTCGGTTGCAAGCATCTCATAAGGCTTTTGGGAGGACTCCCTAAGCTCCACAGAGGATGCAGAGCGGCCCCCTGCAGGTTTCTTTCCCACTTCTCTCTGCCTCCCTTTGGTTCTGACTCCCTTTCTAAGGCACAGTATTGGCTTTTTTAAAACTTAGTTTTACTGTTGAAAGTATTACAGATGTCTTCCTTTTTCCCCGTTGACCATATTTGCTTCTGAAGCTAAGTTTGCTCGTTGTAGCAAAGCCTTTAGGGAAGAGCTCATGATTGATGCTGTCCCCCTTCCCAGTGGTAACTGATGCTTAGAGGCCTGTGTCTTTCAGGAGCTCCTGAGCTGCTGCTCCCTCGGCTGGTTTCCCTGTGGGCAGTGGCACCCATGACAAATGCCAGCCCCAGTCAATAACTTGAATTCTCTTCCTCCCATGTCTGGAGCATAGGAAGTGTCTGATGAATGAATGAACGAACGAACGAACGACAGGATCCTTGGTCTGATATTTATGACCCCTCAAGCTTGCTCCCTCTCCAGGCTTTCCTCTCTCCATACCTTTCGCCTCATCCTTCCCTACTTTTCACCTCCACCTTCTCCACTCCACTGTCCCCAGGTCATTCCCTTTCAGAGGATCACTCCCTGCCTCTGAAATATCAGCCTCCAGCCACGTCTCATTTCTTCAGGGCCCAGTTCAATTGCCGGCGTCTCTGCTCACTGAATTCCCACAGCACTTCCTCTGTGCCTCTGCTGGGGCACTTGGCACTTTCCCTCTGGCGTAATTGCTCATCCCTGTCCTCTCTGCCCTGATGACTCCATGGTGGGAGGGTGGGAAGTCCTGTCTGCTTCATCTCTGTGCTCCTCCAGTGTCCAGTGCAGGGCTTTGAATGCAGTAGACATGTAGGCACTTGCTGAATGAATACATGAACCACCAAGAAGATGTGTTGCCCACCACACCTACCCAACCCTTCTGGGTAGAAGGTCCAGTGCCACAAACTCTGGCTTCTGGGACAAACAGCTCTGAGCAAAGCCTCAATTTACCCTTGGGCCATAGCATGACTCGTGGAGGGACACTAACAACCAGAGGCCTCTAAGGGTTTTCTATTTTAACTTTGCGCTTACTAAGTGTGCCCAGGCAGGGCTGCTGTGGCCCGGTGAGTTACAGCTCCAGTAGATAAAGCGTTTTTCCACCGGAAGGGACCTTGAGTCTTTGGGACCCAGCTGGCTCCTTCTCTAGATGGAAAGCCAAGATTCAGAGAGGAGAAGTAACTGGTCCAAGATCACACAGTAGTAAAGTGAGAACTAGAACATCCAGTGCCTTGGGACATCCAATCTAGAGCTTTTTCCAAGTACCAGGGGAAACTCAAGCTGGCCAACTTTCGACACTTCAGCCAGGCAGAGTCAGATTCAGGTTTACTCAGTATGCCTCGTGCATCCAAGGATAGAAGACCCAGGAGTTGGGAATAGTGTGTGTGTATATGTGCATTTAAGGGTAGAACCAACAAGCCAGTTAAGAACAATCCCCCATAATAGTTTTGCTTTATCTTGTTAAATTAAATAAAATGAATAAACATATATAAACTTATATATAAATATATATATAATGCACACAAGTGCGCACACGTATTTTTCTCTTATAGAAACAATACGCTTGACATGTTTATTGTAAAAAAAAAAAAAATGGAGCATACTAAAAAGCATAGAGAACAAGATTAAATTAAATCATATAATTTCCCACCACTCAAAATTAAACACTTAAATATTGTTATATATTTTTTCGGAACTTTTGCTATGCAAGTGGGAACTTATTTTAATATTCGGGGTGGTATTGTTTGTACAGTTTAGTGCCTTCTGTTTTTCATTTAGGTCTTAGGCATCACTTTTCTACGTTATTATCATTTGCTCAAAAACTCAACTTGCACGACTGCTTCATAATTCATTGTGTGCCATGGTTTATTTAACCACTTCTTCATTGTTGGATGTTTATAAATAATCCTGTGAAGAACATTCTTGAACCAGAGTCTTTGCCTGCATTTTGGATTATTTTCTTAGGACAAATTCCTAGTAAGTGGAGGGCAGGAACATGTTTAAGACTCTCACTACTTGCTGCCAAGTAGCTTTCCAGAAACATGTACCAATTACAACCCGACCAGCTGCCTCAAAGAAGAGCCTTTGATTCTGCAATTGCAGCAATACCTCGGGCTGGGGGAGGGGCACTCTTTCATCCAAAGCCTCTTGGGTAGTCCTGACAATGGACCCCTTGTCCTGCCCCCATCTCCTCTTCCCATACTGCCCTCCATCCCTGGCTCCAGGCTTGACTGTCTGTGAGGCCTCTGTTCAGTCCCCTCTAGCCTTCCTGGCACCCCAGGCTGCCTCAGAGATCAGGGCTGGTAGAGCAGAAAGGTGAGAGATGCAGCCGTCCTGTGGGGTCACCGCCCTTCCAGCACGGGAGGAAACCCCCAGGGGAAGTGAGGGGAAGGTGTGTAAGGGCTGCTGAGTCATTCACCTGTCAACCTCACCTAAGTCCCCAGCCTAGGGCAGTGACCTGCACATCTAGGAGACGCAAGTAGAAGCCAGCCTTAGTGACAACAGCCACAAGGGACTCTGGCCAGCTTGTGGATGTCTTCTGTTTCCCTCCAGGCTCTGAAGTCCCTCCATGAATCCCCGGAAGAAGGTGGATTTGAAGCTCATCATCATCGGAGCTCTGGGGTAAGCCAAGCTCAGTTTGGGTTCGAGGGTTGGGAAGCAGGCACCTAGCCAAGGGTAGTGAGAGCTCCTCATAATGTTTCCACCTCCCCTGGGCACCTTTCCGATTCAGTGTGGCACCAGAGGGGACATTCCACCCAAGGAAGGGAGCTCAGTAGGAGAAAGAGGCTGGGAGTCAGGCTACCTGGTTTCTGATCCAAGCTCTGAGGTAACAAATCACTTAGCATCTATCTTCCTTCCCACATGCCACGTACAGAGAAGACCTGACCATTGCTTTGGGGCACCCAGCTCTCTTCAAACCTCTCTGCTCACTGTGACTGGCCCCTGCTTCTAGAAACCTTGCGACTCAAAGTATGATCCTTGGACCACAAGTGTTTGAAACTCAGAATCTCAGGGAGAGACAGTGGCGAGAGGTGCATGATAAGATTTTGACAATAGTATATATGTGTGTGTGTGTACATTCGTGTTCACATGTGTCTGGCTTTCTTCCCTCAGTGTAGGAAAGACCTCCCTCCTCCACCAGTATGTGCACAAGACGTTTTATGAAGATTACCAGACCACGCTAGGCGCCAGTATCCTCTCCAAGATTATCATACTGGATAACACAACTTTGAAGCTACAGGTGAGCAGGTCTCCCCTTCCCTCTTCAACATGCATACCTGAGAATCACCCCACATGCTCTGGATGGCTACTCACAGCAATGTGTACCAGACACTAGAATGATTCAGAGCAGACATTAGCAAACTTCAGCTAATGGACCAAATCTGATCTCTCACCTGCTATTGTAAATAAAGTTTTATTGACACACAGCCATGCCCATTTGTTTACTGATGGTCTATGGCTGCTTTCACACTAGAGCAGCAGAGCAGTTGCAACAGACAGTATGGTCTGCAAAGCCTAAAATATTTACTATGTGGTCCTTGACAGAAAAACAAAGTGCTGTCCTCTGATCTAGAAGGATGAGCTCAAATCCAGGAGTCAGGAAGTCTTACTTCTAGTCTTAGGTCCCTGGAAAACTTGGCGAGGGACCTCGGCAAATCACTCTGTAGGTCCAAATGTATCTGATGGGAATGATAACACCTGCCCTGATGGCCCAGGTGAAGACAAGAGAGCAGATATGAAAGTATTCTTGGATGCTAAATGTGAATGCCAAGATACTGCAGTGTACAAGGTGACTGGGTCGAGATACTTGTGTGTGAGAAGAACACATGCACCTGTGCCAGGGCTGGCTGCTCCCTGCCCAGAGACAGCTTTGGCATGATGTCATCCAGGTAGGCCAAACCTCCAGCCACTCACCCCAGCCCTGTGGGACGGCTGCTTTTTCCTCCAGATCTGGGACACAGGTGGACAGGAGCGGTTCCGCTCCATGGTGTCCACGTTCTACAAAGGCTCTGATGGCTGCATCCTGGCTTTTGATGTCACTGACCTGGAGTCCTTTGAAGCCCTGGATACCTGGCGGGGGGATGTCCTGGCCAAAATCATTCCAGTGGAGCAGTCCTACCCCATGGTGGTGCTGGGGAACAAGATTGATCTGGACGACCGGCAGGTATCATTAATTTATTTATTCATTCACCCAACATTATGTGAGCACCAACTAGATGCCAGACACTGTGTAGGTCCCACACATACAAAGCTGAATCATAAACAGTCCTTGCCTTAAAATTTTTACAGTCTAGTAGTGGAGAGAGGCACTTTAAAAGGTAAATATGATACAATATGGTAAATGCAATGGTAGAGACAGACCTTGGAAATTTGAAGGCCACAGTGAAAGCTCATTTACTAAGGCCAAAATCTAAAAAGGGCTTCCTGCCTGGCTGGTGTGGCTCAGTGGATTGAGCATCGTCTCATGGACTAAGAGGTCCGGGTTCGATTTCTGGTCAGGGCACGTAGCTGAGTTGCAGGCTCGATCCCCAGTTTGGGGCATGCAGGAGGCAGCCGACTGATGTTTCTCTCTCACATAAATGTTTCTCTCTCTAAAAAAATAAGTGGGGAGCTTTCTATAGTAGGTGGCATCCAGGCTAATAAAACAGCATGAGCAAAGGCAAGAAATAGCATGATATGAGCTGAGAATTGAAGACAATTTTGTCTAGAGACAGGAAGTACAAGAATTAAGGCACCAGAGGTAGGCAGGTAGAATTTGAATTTACCTGTAGAACAGTATTTCTACCCAGGGGTCAGGTAGAGGGTCTGCAGTTATAAATTCTTTTTTTTTTTTTTTTTTGGTACATGCTCCTAGCAGGAACCGAACTCGGGACTCTCTGGTCCGCAGGCCGATGATCCAACCGCTGAGCCAAACCAGCCAGGGCATAAATTCTTTTTAAAAATATATATATATTTTTATTGATTTTTAGAGAGAGAGATAGAAACATTGATAAAAGAGACACATCAATTGGCTGCCTCCTGCACACCCCCAATGGCCGCGGTTCTCAACCTGTGGGTGGCAACCCCTTCCACAGGGGTCGCCTAAGACCATCGGAACCATATTTCCGATGGTCTTAGGAACCAGGACACCGCTCTTCTGTCCGTCTCCAGGCGGAACAGGGGCTACGAGAAGAGGGTTAAAGCCAGGGGCTGAAGTGGTTGAAGTGGAAGAGCAGGACAGAAGGAATGAGGACGTGAGGAGCTGGAAGGGAAAGATGATTGTGGTCACGGAGGGAAGACCAGGTTTAGTATTATTTACAGAGGTCCTGGGGCTGGCCCTGGACAGAAGAGAAGGTGAAGTCTGTTGGAGGGGAAGGAATTATGAAGCTCTCGTGAGGGGTGGAGGCTAAGGGTGAGGCGGAGAAGAGATTGCAGGAGTTCAGTGGATGAGGGGGTACTGGCAGGGTGGGAAGCAAAGGGTGGAGGGGTCCAGTCCAAGCTGGGGTTGGACATGAGCTTTGCTCTGCAGAGAGAGAAAGATAAAGGCTTGAAAGAAGCAGCAGAGCCCCAGACAAGCCCAGCCCTTCTCTGGGACATGTGCGTATAGTTACATCCAGCCTCTTCATCTGTGAAACGAAGGCCAGACACAGATTTCATGAGGTTGTTTGAGGATGAAAGAAAATGATGCCTATAAAGCACATGGCAAGCTTAATGGGAGTGGTTGTTATCCTTATTATCTCCAAGGCATGGGCTGGGAAAACACTGGAGCACCTCCTCCTCAATAAAAACAAAATAAATAGCGCCCTGGCCGGTGGCTCAGTGGTTAGAGCACCGGCCTGTGGTCCCGAGAAACCTGGGTTGGGTTCCCGCTAAAGGCACGTACCTCGGTTGCAGTTTGTCCCCGGCCCTGGTTGGGTTGTGCAGGTGGCAGCCACTTGATGTGTCCCTTTCCTGTCGATGTTTCTCTCTCTTTCTTTCTCTCTCTCCCTCCCACTCTATCTGAACAAAAAAATGAAAAAAATGTCCTCAAGTGAGGATAAAAAAAAAAAAAGAAAGAAAATAAATATTTAAAACTCTGCTGCTGGAGTTTAAGAAAAAGTTCTGGAGATGGATGGGGGAGATGGTGGCACAACAATGTGAACGTACTTAATGTCCTTGGACTGTGCACTTAAATAGAGTTAAAATGGTATATTTCATGTCTGTGTATATTTTTTTCCACAACAAAACATATATATTGCCAGAATAATTTTAAATAAATTACTAGATTTTTTTAAATCCCTACTTTTTTCTACAGAAGGTGATAGAGTGAAAAAAAATATTAGTTTGTTTTAAAGAACATCTCTGCCAGCACCTATGTTACAAGAAGTGTATTCACTGCCACGTGAATTCTTTGCTCTGAATTCGGTAGGCGCTTTGGGACTCGCCACTGATGCAGAATGTTGGGATTATATTTTCTTTATTTTGACAGTGATTTAAGATGTATTGGACACGCTAATTTTAACACATATAATTGATCATTTTAAATGTATATGAGACCGAAGAGCATCATAAATAAACTGGAATCGTTTTGTCGAACTTTTGGGTTCTGATGAACCATCAAAATTGAAACAGGAGCCCTGGCAAGTGTAGCTCAGTTGATTAGAAAGTCGTCCCATGCACCAAAGGGTCGCAGGTTCGATTCCCAGTCAGGGCACATGTGCAGTTTTGAGTATGATCCCGGGTCAGGGCTTGTATGGGAGGCAACCAATCGATGTTTCTGTCTCACATCGATGTTTCTCTCTCACGCTGATGTTTTTCTCTCTCTCTCTCTCCCCTTCTCCACTCTTTCTCTAAAATCAATAAAAACACATATTCTGGTGAGGACTAAAAAAAAAAATTGTAACAAGAGAAGTAAAATGTAAGTAGTATACTGTCAGCCAGAAGCAAAATTAATAGAAGTAATGCTTCCAAAGTTCTCATACTTCCCTTATCCCCAAGTATCACACCTGAGTTTATTTCCACAGTCAGAGCCTAAGTTATAAATAACCATTATTTCATAAACAAAAGGCAAAATGATTTTTTTTTTTTATCCTCACCCAAGGATATTTTTCTATTTATCTTCAAATAGAGTGGGAGGGAGAGAAAGAGAAACATCGACGTGAGAGTGACACATTGGTTGCCTCCCACACGATCCAACCAGGGCCGGGGACAAACTGCAACCAAGGTACGTGTCCTTGGCCGGAACTGAACCCGAGACTCGGTCTGTGGGCCGATGCTCTACCTGCTGAGCCAAACCGGCCAGGGCAAGACAAGATGATTTGAAAAACCATGAAACTGTAGCTAGAATTAGAAAAGGAAGGTGAACGGTGCTGTCTGCGCTGTTTTCTTCCCAGGCCAGCTTTCTGAGGTTCAGTGGGACAGGTTCTAGGAATAGAAGAAGAAGGCTAATTTGCAACACAATCTCCACTGATACTTTGGAGTTGTGTGTTTAATCACTGCGTGTAAACAGAACTGAGAAAGGGTGGAAAAAAGGAAATACAATATCTGTCATAACCTGGTCACTGTCCAGTAGGAGAGAAGGGACAGCTGAGATCAGCCAGCTAGGGTCACAAACTTCTCTTCCGAGCTCTGTCACTGGGTGACCTTGGGCACCAGTCCTGGCTTCTGCCTCTTGTGCCAGAAAATATAAAGAATCTCCCGGCCCACTGGAGAAGCAGAGGTACTTGACTTCATTGCTCCACTGCGACTTCTACTGCAACTCCTGAGCACCCGTGATGGGCCCAGGAAAATGCTCATCGCCTGGTGGGGGCGGGGCCGGGGCCGGGGGGTGGGGGGTGGGATGTAAAGAAAACAGGAGCGCTCTGGCCGTTTTGCTCAGTGGTTGGAGCATCTGCCCGAGGACCAAAGAGTCACCGGTTTGATTCTGGCCAAGGGAAGGTATCTCGATTGTGGTTCGGTCCCTGGCCCTGGTCAGTGTCGTGTGGGTGCGGGAGGCAACCAATTGATGTGTCTCTCTCGCGGATGTTTCTCTCCCCACCCCCCTTCCTCCCACTCTATCCGAAGATAAATGGAAAAATATCCTCAGGTGAGGATTTAAAAAAAAGAAACAATCAGCAGGGTAAATGTAGTCTTTGTCCTCAAGGACTTTAAAAGATACAATGCCTATAATATTGTACATCAACTGTAATTGAAAAATTTTAAAAAAAATTATCTTTAAAAAAGATACAAAACCCTTGTGTCCCTAAGATGCCATCCAGGTATAATGTGTTAATTTCTAATGAGTATTTATTTGCATATTACTAGTGAGGATAACAGTAATTGGTAGCCTGGCCATCCTTGATTCTTCCCCAAAATATAGTTCAGGATTTTCCCTAAACTATAGGCTTCTCGGTGACTCACCGGGACTTGGTATCAGTGCTCCAGAGAAGGAGCACGCATGGCCAATTCTGGGGCGCCTATCCCCCAAGGCAGGAGGATCTTAGAGGTCAGAGGCCAAGACCAGGGCCTGGGGTTTCTCCCTGCTCTGCTCAAGTTCAGCAACAACTGGGAGACTGACTAGGCAGAGCCTGGACAGGGAAGGTAGAGGTGTCATCAGGCTCCCCAAAGGGCAGGCTGCTTAGCCGACCCCAGTCTCTACCCTCCAGTGCCAGGTAGCAAGCTTCACAATGCCAGAGCAATGCCGGGCACAGCAGAGGCACGGGAAAGAGCCATGAGCCAGGCCTCTGGTGCCGCTGCTGAGACCAGGGACACAAAGAGCAAAGGGACAGCAATGGAACCTTTCATCTCAGTAAGATGATTCCAGACCTGCAGGAGCAAGCGAGGCAACTCCCTGCCACTCGGTGTTCTGGGAGCGGGGCACAGTGGTCCTTTCTGCATGAGAAAAACCTTGGCTCCCTTAAAGTCCCAGGTACAGCAAGTGTTCACTATATGGTCATTTCCCCCTTCCCGAAATAATTAGACATTAAACTCAGTAGTACCAATGTCTTTGAAAGTAACTTGCAAGCTGCCAGAATATTTTCCAACCCAACATCCTCTGACTGGGATCAGCCACTGGCGTGTGGGTAGTGATATACTCAGTCAGCCTGCACCGAGGGGCTCACGGCACCAGGCCAAGAGCTAAAAAGACCCTGACCCTGAGCTCAAGGAACCCACAGTCCAGTGGGAGAGACAGGAAAGCAGCATAGGTCTCATGCAGTGTCCTGCACAGGGCAACTCAGATGTCATGGGAGCACTGAGCTGGGTTTCATCTAAACTCTGCCTTTCTCAGCTGTGTGATCTGAGGCAAGTTGCTGAACCTCTCTGAGCCTCTGTGCCTTATCTATAAAGTAGAGCTAATAAGACCCATCTCACAGGGTTACTGAGGATTGAATAAGTCAATATGACAAGATATCTAACACAGTGTCTGGCCCATAGTAGAAGCTTATCAACTGTTCTTAGGACTCTACCCTGGAACAAAAGGGTTAGCAGGGACCAGAGTCTCTGCCCAGCAACAGGCCTCCTGGGTCATCCAGCTCACAGAAAGAGTCCTCCATCCCTGGCTAGTGTCTGTCATGCCCATCTCCCTCTGAAGGACTGAAGAAGGAGCCAATGGCAGGGAGAAGCTCCTAGCGTAGGCCTTCGGACAGGAGCACCACGCAGTGGGGTCGAATTCGACCGAGCTTGTGTTCAAATCCTGCTCAGCCCCAACAATCTACACACATGCTTTTATTCTCTAGTCCTCGGTCTCCTCATCTGGAAGATGAAGCTAACAATAGCCACCTCATACATTTATGTCGAGAAATAACATGTGTACAGTTATGGACATATGGAAGGTTCTCAATAAATAGCAGTGGTGACAGGGATAGTGGTGAGGACGATACAGAAACAGTGACCATTTCCTCCCTTCATCCAGGTACCACAGGAGGTAGCCCAAGACTGGTGCAGAGAGAAGAATATTCCCTACTTTGAAGTCAGTGCCAAGAATGACATCAATGTGGTACAAGCCTTTGAGATGTTGGCCAGCCGGGCTCTGTCAAGGGTGAGTGGCTGCGGCGGCAGCACTGGCCGGACCGCCCGCTGGCTTGGGGCAACTTGGGAGCTTCCAGAAAAGAACATATTGGGCACAGGTGGGGATGTGGGTGGAACAGAACTGCTCATTGTCTTAATCCCTGAGGGACCCCAGTTCTCGACCACAGAATGCCAGAGGTACAAAGCCCCTTGATCTAGTCGGTGGTCCCCCATCTGGTTATCAAAATCATTTGTGGCGTTTCTAAAAAAAAAAAAAATACCGTCCAGGTCCAGTACCCCACAGCTGGAGAGTCTAATTAGTAAGGGTTTGAGAAGTGATTAGTTCAGTCCTTCTCAGTGGGAGAGAAGCCCCATGGGGCTAAGTATTTGTCCAAGTAGAAAATCCAATGTGCAGAAGTTGCTGACATTTTCCAATAAAAAAGATGGATGGATGCAGACCCCCCGAGTGACATTCAACAAGCATGTGTTGAGGGTGTCACAAGTGCTAGGCACTGCAGGGCTCGGAGGCCCCTCACTCTCAGGGGGACAGATAGGCATATGAGTGGTTTCAGCATAGGTATTATAAGGTGGGGAAGGCCTTAGTGATGGGGTCCCAGAGGAGGAGAACACAGCCTACACTGTGGGGGGCAGGGGAGGAGAGAAAAATCAGGTAAGGCTGCCTGGAAGCAGTGGTGAGGTTTTAATGTCATTCTGGTGTGGAGTTTGGAGACTCTGAAGAAGGCTCATGAGATCCTAGCATGGGAGGGGCTCAGCTTGTTTCATTATTCTGCTGCGTTTAATCAAGGTGGGCTTCTTGGAAGAGGGGAGATCATTGCGGCAATGATTTTGAATTAAGGAAATGCGTAAATGAAGGTGGGAGATGGGAGGCTTGTCCTATGTGGAAGTGCCTGCCACCCTGTGGGACACCAGCCTGCCTGGCCCTGCTCTGCCAGCTGCGCTGGAGAGAAGCCTAGAGGTGTCCATGACGAGAGAGGCAGCAGCCCCTCTAGCAGCTGCCCAGGGACAAGGCTCGAACTTCTATCTTTTTCTTTTTCTCCTCACCCGAGGACATTTTTGCACTTATCTTCAGATAGAGTGGGAGGGAGAAGAGGGGAAAAGAGAGAGAGAGAAACATCGATGTGAGAGAGACACATCGAGTGGTTGCCACCTGCACGACCCCAACTGGGGCCGGGTACAAACTGCAACCGAGGTACGTACCCTTAGCAGGAACCGAACCCGGGACTCTCTGGTCTGCAGGCTGATGCTCTAACTGCTGAGCCAAACCGGCCAGGGCTCGAGCTTCTATCTTTACACCTCAGAGCCTTCATCCCAGGGTTTACCCCCTCGGACTATTCTCATAGTTCCCCTCCCAGCCCCCCGCACTCACTGTCTCAGGTTAAAGGGAAAAATGGGAGCTGGGGGCGCAGTGGGGGGTGTCCATCTCTAGCGCACAGTGGAGAAGTGTGGCTCTATTACATAGTCCTTGAAGTTGGCCTCTAAAATACAGACTTGCTGCTCATGCCGTTCCCCCCGAAGGCAGAGGAATGTTGCTTGACTTTGTACAGTGATACACGATAAATGACCCTCCACAAACAGAGCAATGGTCACCAAATGCCCAGTCACAGGGAAGCTCCATTGGTCCCCAGGCAGGGTCTGTATGAGGCTAGTATTTGTCCTTTCAGGAGAAGGACTGTCCTTTATTCTTGAAGTTATGTCCCTCCTGCTGTGTCACTTTTAAGATGTGGTCTAAGTAGAGGGCAGCCTGTCTGCTCGGTATGTAACACCCTACTTGGCAAAAGAATCGATTGGCAGTCCCATGTTTGTCCCTCATCTTAACGAGGGGAATTTACTGGTGAGAAGTCTGAAAGTCACAAGCGTGGTGTCTGCAGTCAGACCGACCTGGATTTGAATCCTGCCCCGGTGCTTTCAAGTGGGCCCCTGCGCAAGACACGTGGCTTCTCTGAGCCTCAGTGTCCTCATCTGTGAAATGGAAATAATTCAATCCCATGAACATTTCTTGAGTTGTCAGGCTAGGGCTGGAGGTGTGCACCTCAGTGTCCCCAAGGTCAGGCAGAAGGGTGACACAGTCACAAAGAGACTGTCGTGGAGTGGGATAATGCCACGGGGGGGAGTGGGCCAAGGCGCCGAGGGAACTCCTCGGAGGCACTGGCAGAGAAGGTGGCGAGGGTGGCGAGGGTGGCGAGGGTGGCTCCCCAGAGGCCCAGCAGGTGAGCCGGTGTTGAAGGACAATGTGCAGTCTGCAGGTGGACAGGGTTGGCCACTGCAGGAGGAGCAGGAGCAGCAGAAGGTGGAGGGAAGGGGATGGCCAGAGCCCAGGCGGGAATCCACGGGGCTTATGTAGGAACCAAGGGCGGGTTCCGCCTGTAGGAGAAGGAAGTGCGGCCCGCCGGGGAGCAGGCTGTAGGGCCTTGGCGAGTAATGACGTTCACAAGGTCAGTGGCACCAGATCACAAAGGCCCAGCGACCCCAGCCGGGACTCCAGACTTCCAGGCTCTTCACAAACAGCAGGCCCTTGTTTCCAGGGTGACTGCTGGGCCCCAGGGCATGCGGCGGCTCCCCTGGACCCCGAAACCCGACAGGGCACGTCTTTCTTCAATGCCTCTATGACTCAGACATTTGGAGGAGGAACATTTTCCCATTGAAATAACCACACCTACTAGGGATAGAATGTAAAACTCACATGGATTTTTTCACTTGAAACCGGAGTTTGCAAATCTATATTTTAAGGTCAAACAAGAGTTTCTGAAGACTCTCCAAGGACCTCTCCGCTCCTTCCCAGGGAAGTTGTGTGCTCATTCCCACTGGCCCAGAGTTTTTTCAGAGGAAAACGTGAGAGGTGCTCCTGGGGTAGGGAAGGAATCCCCAGACTGGAGTGGGAGGAGCTGGGGCCCTGAAGCTGGATAGACCTGGCTTTAAATCCTGGCTCACTGTGTCCTTGAGCCAATAAAACAGCATGGTAGCAGAGAGAAGGCATGAAATACAAAGTAAGTATTTTTAAATGAGAGCTATCTATAAAGGTTTTTAGCGGGGCGTTTCGTCTGCAGAGAGGATGGGCTCTCTGTGGTTGAGAAGGTACTGCCACAGTGCAGGCATGAGACGTGAAGATGGCGAGGTGGTTAGAAGAGACTTTGGAGGGAGGACCATCAGGGGCTGGGATAGGAGAATGCAGGAGAGAAGGAATCGGGAGCTGTTCAGGTTAATGAGCAGGTTTTTAGCTTGGCAAACAGAGGGACGATTCACTAGGGATGCTCTGGACCAAGACAGAGAAGAGAGGAGAAAGCAGGAGCATCCCAGGGAGCAGGGGTAGTTCAGGCCTTTGGAGCACGTGGCATTCAAGGGTCCCTGGGGCTCCTTGAAGTGTCTGAGTCCTGCAGTGGGCTCTGGACCGGAAGAACGATTTGCAAGTGGAGCGCCTTTGGAATAGGTACTCGGTTCATATTTTGAGAGGAAAGAAAGTAGGAAGTTACTTTTGGGTCCCGCTCTGGCCATTTTCAAGGATTAGGATGGTTATTGTAAAATATAATTAAGAATGCCCTCATGATCAAAGAAGGGGCACCCACATGTTTTGCTCTCACCAAGTTGGCAACACCTGGGCTGGCAGGCCTGGCTGCAGTGGGACACATGGGCCGCAGCATGGAGGGCCAGCTCCCTCCAGGCCAGCGGAGAAGGCAAAGCTGCCATGTCCAGGAGGGAAGCGGGTATCCTTGCTGAAATGCTGGACCTTTCTGAGGTCCTCAGGACACAGGATGTGAAGGCAGGGCCGTGGAGGTGACCAGGCTCAGAGGGACAGACATTGCTGATCCCACCCCACCGAAATGATGCGTGTATCTGGATACTCCGTGCGAGTCGACAGTGAGATGCACGTATTTGCCAAGAGGATCCGGGCTGGAGAAAAGAATCGCACAGAAAATCTAACGATGGCCTGCCAGTCACTTGGACATTTTACAGGGACTCTGAGGAGCGAGGTGATGTCATATTGAGTGAAACGATGTCGTACATGGGGAGCGCTCAGGGCTGACTTGGACGTGGGAGGATGTGAATGTAACTGGGTGGAGAGAGCTGACCTGAAGCCCTCAGCTGTGCCAGTGGGTGCGTGAGGGCGTGTCTCACACCTTCCGTCCGGGGCAGCATCCTTCATTCCTAGAATAAGGTGAAAGGCGCTCAGGAAGCCCCAGCTTCTCCCAGCCAGACTCTCCTTCCACGCTGGCAGCGTGCACAAGGGCGCGGGGGCTCTGGGGTCCGGGGGGTCTTGCATGGACATGAAGGTGGGTTCCAGCAGGCCCTGCCCCTCGGCACAACAGACTCAATTTACAAAATTCCTGATCCTGACCAAGTCTCTTTGGCTGTCAGGGCGAGAGAGGGACCAGGAAAGGACCGTAATAGGAGAATCCTGTCTTGCTGGGAGAAATGGATCATCTGGTGTTAAAAAAGGGACTTAAATAACAACAGCCAGCTCCTCCCTGTCCCTCACTGTGAGGTCCAGGAATGACAGGGTTTTAACTGCAATTAGCTCAGTGGAGTGAGCGGGCCCGGCACATAGCCGAGGGGCCAGCTGGAGGACCGGACAATGCCCCGGCCTGGGCGGTGCTGGGGACAAGGAGCTACTTGGCCCGTTTTCTCTCCTCGGGCACCTCAAGGTAGAACTGTTCTCCCTCAGGGTGAGCTGGGGCAGCCTGGGGCGGGTCTGTAAGGAGGGGGCTCAGACCCTCCCCAGGAGAGGGGACACTCGTGACTGACCTGAGGTGTGGAGACGGCTCCAGGGGACAGGCTTTCATTCACAGAGACTTCCTCTCACCCCCACAGTAGTCCTGCCTGTTAAATTATATACATATAATTTAAATTACATACATTTAACAGGCATATATGTCCCATATATTTTATATATCATATATATATAACACAAATAAAATTCTAATAACTCAAAAGAATTTGTTGAGGGGTAGCCGAGGCCCACCATGCAGGCTGACTGAGGGCGGCTGGCCCCAGGACCCTCTCAGGGAGGGGTGAGAAACGGGGGCTCTCCATGACACAAGCCGTGTGGGGAAGGGCTGGACCCCCGCCAGGGCTGCGAGCTGTGTGCCACCAGCTAGATGACTGCTCGGTCAGGGCGTGACAGCAGGCATCAGAGGACCTTCTCCTGTGTCTTGGGGGCCACCATCATCAGGGTGCGGCACGTGGGCCTGACACCATCTCCTGGGGTCCAGGATCATGGGCGTTAGGGTTTGGTTGACATTCACCATCTGGGCACCCAGCTGGAGCCGGGGAGCCATGGAGGAGAAAAAAGCAGAATCTTAGACGTTGTCCCCTCTGAGAGGAGCACTAGAGACAGACACCAGGCACAGGTGCACCTGCCACACAGGAGGCTCTGCCCTCTCGGGCCCACACTGCACACAGGAGGGCGCACCTGCCACACAGGAGGCTCTGCCCTCTCGGGCCCACACTGCACACAGGAGGGCGCACCTGCCACACAGGAGGCTCTGCCCTCTTGGGCCCACACTGCACACAGGAGGGCGCACCCGCTCACTCCCCTCACACATGCCACACCCGCGGGGAGAGGAACATGAACTCGGAAGCTCGGGGATGGGAGCAGCAACACAGGAAGGAGATGGGATGCCTTTAAGAAGAAACCTTTCTGCATGCAGAACCCATCTTCTAGCCCTGGCCAGTTTGGCTCAGCGGTTAGAGCGTCGGCCTGCGGTCCGGAGAGACCCGGGTTCGGTTCCCACTAAGGGCACGTACTTCGGTTGCAGTTTGTCCCCGGCCCTGGTTGGTCGTGTGGGTGGCAGCCACTCGATGTGTCCCTTCACGTCGATGTTTCTCTCTCTCTCTCCCTTCCTCTCTCTCCCTCCCACTCTATCTGTACAAAAAATGCAAAAATGTCCTCGGGTAAGGATAAAAAAAAAAAAAAAAATTATTTGGAGAACCCATCTTCTAGAAAGGAAGGCTCCCCACCCTCCACCCCCCACCCCCTCCTGAACCAAGCAGGGTGAGTCCCAGGTGGGAAGTGGCCAGCTGGGTGGAGAGGGGCTCCTCAGGCTAACCAGGGGCTTTCTCTGGACCTTGTAGGGACAGGAGAGTTCGGGAGGGTGGGCAGACAGGCCAGAAGGCCCAGTAGAAACATTGAGTCTGTTTAGGGAGGCCTCCCGGGACATGGGAAGAACAGAGGACTTGGTGGGGGGGGGGGGGAGGTCTTGGGGAGAGAAGGTTGGAGTGCAGGATGTTTGTGGGGAGAAGTCTGGCAGAAATGAGGAGCAGGCTGCCATCATCTCTGCTGAGGACAAACGTCACTTCAGTTGTCCCCTCTAGAGGATGGAAAGTTATGGAACCTGGTTAGAGGTCAGGAGACCTGCATCCCTGACCCAGCCACTCAATTGCTCTAGGTTCCTGGAAGAGCCTGGAGGAGGTGAGGAAGGAAGCGGGTGATGAGACCAGCGGCTTCCCGCTCTGGGCCTCAGTTTCCCCACGGCACAGTGGGGAGGGAACAACAGGCCCAAGCAGGGTCTGCAGAGACAGGCAGCCGGTGCTCTGTGCCGCTCAGGTGTGAACGCGGCTTCTCTTTCCTTCCCAGTATCGGGACATCTTGGAGAACTACCTCACAGACTCCATCAAGCTCTCCCCAGAGGACCAGTCCAGGAGCAGATGCTGCTGATCGTCCAGACTCCCTCTCGACACCGGACACACAGCGCGCCCTGCGCCTGGTCATCGGCGTCTCCCACCAGCCCCACCACCTGCCGAGGCGCAGCCTGGGCTCGGCCCAGCCTCTATGGCAGAGCCCCTGATCCCCGTGTCTGTGCTGGGCCCAGAATCAGAGGGCAGCCCCTCCCTCGGGCGAGTGAAGTGAGCACAGGGCTGGGTCCTCAGGGGTCCTGATGAAACTCAGACTGTCATAGTCAAAGCCTGGCCCGGAGGAGTCACAATTCCTTGCTGTTTCCAGCTTTCCTGCACTGCCCTCCTCAAACACGCTCCTGCTCCAGAATGCTCATCTCTGCAGACAGACAGGCCGCTGCCTCCGGAGTGCTGTGGGCGGGTCCCCCCCCACCCCCACCCCCACCCCCACCCCCACCCAGCCCTCCCGGCCCTCCGGCCCAGCCTCCCCCAGCAATCAGGGCCAGGAAATGTGGGCCTGGACCTCCAAGGGCCTGTCTCAACCCATGGCCCAGCTGTTCACTCCTGGGACACCCTTCTGTCCCCTCCGGAGTATAGGACTGAGGGAGCCCAGAGAAAGCCAGCAGGGACTGGCTAATTCTTCCTTGATGGGTGCTCAGGCAACTCCCATAAATCTCTCTGAGCCTCAGCTTGTTCATCTGTCACATGGGGGTGGCATATGTCTGGCCCATATCAGAGTGGGATCTTGAGAACCAGAACTCCACTTAAATCTCAGTCACCTTGTTGATATGCATTTATTTATTCCTCCAACAAGTATTTTTGAGTATCTACTACCTATGATGCACTGAGGCCCAGTGACAAACAAAACAGGCAAGGATGCTGTTTTCCTGGACCCTACTTTCTGGTTAGAGAGGCAATAGACAGAATTTACACAGATATATATATTTTTTTAATCCTCACCCAAGGATATTTTTCTACTTATCTTCAGATAGAGTTTCAGAAAAACATCAACATGAGAGGGACACATCAACTGGTTGCCTCCCACACGACCCTGACCAGGACTGGGGATGAACTGCAACTGAGGTACGTGCCCTTGACCAGAATCGAACCCATGAGTCATTGGTCCACAGGCCAACGCTCTAAGCGCTTAGCTAAACTGTCCAGGGCTACACAGATATTTTCAAATAGCAAGTGAGTGCTTGAACAAAGTGAAACAGGGTAATAGGACAGAGAGACACAGGGGCTGCGTTTGAGTGCTGTTTCCGACAAAGTGGTCCAGGAGGGCTTCTCTGAAGAGGTGATATTTGGTCTGAGGGCTGGACAGTAAGAAATGGGCTGCCACCTGAGATCTGGAAGAACATTCGGGAGAGAGCAGCAAGGGTCAAGGCCCCAAGGCGAGGATAAGCTTGCTGTGTTCCAGCAACAGTGAAAGGACAGTCCTTTACCTGAGCACTCAAAAGCTGCTGTCCCTGAGACCGCAAAGGGAACCCGCCTCCTGGATGGTTCCTCCATCTTCCACTAACTGGCCACCAGAGGGCAGCAGTGCTCTTCTCGCTCAAGCTGAGTGAACAGTGGCTGTTCCAAGGACACTTGAAGAGCGGGCTCTGGGTTGTTCCAAGGACACATCAAGATTTGTGGGGCAGGAGAATCTCAGTGGGCAAACACTGCAACAGTGATTCAAGCAAGAAATCCACCTCAGTAACAATAGGCTGAGGGGCCTGAGAGCTCGTGGATTCTCTGTGCCTACAGGCTCTGAGGCTATAATTTCTTCTGGCTACAGACAGCACATTCTGAGGGGGTGGACAAGATGACCTCACGGCCGCAGATGTCTCCTGTCTGCACAGAAGTATCCTTCCTGAGCTGTAAGCAGAGCTGGGGATGTTAGTGACTTCTGAGCATCACCTGACTCTGAGGATACACCTAGAGGTGTGTGTGTGGGGGGGGGGGGTCAGGAGCCCCTCTCTCCTCCCCAGCTGTGGAGTAAAAACGGGCTTGTCCTGGGCAGCAGCATGGACCTGGCACAGGAGCAGGTGGCCTGGAGCACAGCTGTCTCTGTGTGTGGCGTGGGCTGTCCTGGGAGTCGTCGGACTGGGGTGGGATGTACGGAGCTTGGGAGCGTCCGCAGCAGCTTGTGCGCCACAGTGGACATGTGGACTGTTTCTAACCGTGTACAATAAATCATGCATGTGTCCTTTGTTTTTAGCCTTTGTGGGGTTTAGTTATTAAACAAAAAAGATACATCTCCATGTTCAAAATTCAAACGATACTAAAGGGAAGACAACAAAAAATAAATAGGCCTGGGCCAGTTTGGCTCAGTCGTTAGAGCATCGGCCCACAGACCAAAGGGTCATGGGTTTGATTCCCGGTCAAGGGCACGTACCTGGGTTGCAGATTTGATCCCCAGTTGGGGTCATGTGGGAGGCAACCAGTAGATGTGTCTCTCTAACATCAATGTTTCCCTCTCTCTCTTTCCCACTCTATCTAAAAATCAATGGAATAATATCCTCAGGTGAAGATAAAAAAAAAAAAAAAAGTAAATAGGACCAGCTATGTAACTGGTGGGGCCTGGCACAAAATGAAAATGCTCAGTCCTATTCAAAAATTGTCAGGAATTTCAAGACAGCAACAGTGAATCATGGGCCAAGCACAGGGGCCTTCTGCGTGCAAGCTGCACCCTGTGACGCTGTCCCTGAGCGAGGGACGATGTTTTCAGTGCCTCCAGGATGACAGCCCTGGCCAGGCCCCCTGGGCTGCAGACGCACAGTAGCTCGCAGGCAGGAGGCTGCCTTTGCGAGAGCCCCGTGGAGATCCCACCCCGGCCCAAAGCACCGACGGAAAGTTCCACGTGGAGTTGGAGAGTGGAGGTCGGAGGGCCCACAGCACCCCTCCTCATGACGAGGGGATACAGGACCCATCCGCAAGGCAGAGGGAGCTGACCCGACAGACTGCAGACTGTCGCCACTGTCCACTCCACACCCACCTCTGAGCGGGAGATGGGCCCTGAGGGGCAGTAGGGGCAGTGGGGACTCCTGCCGAGTGGAGCCCCCTGGGGCCTGGACGGGGTGGGGCAGCACTTCCAGGGTCCCATCGGCACCATCCATTCAGAGAAGACAGATTACCAAGGCGCTCTGACCCGGCTGCTCTGGGGTCCACCAGAGCCCTGCGCTGAGGGCAGCTCTGGGAGCTAATAAGTAACAGGAGCCGGGCCAGGGCTCTGGGTGGCACATGCCCTTGAGGCTTGAGAGAAAAACAAAACCAAATCTAATCACCAAATGTACCTCGATTGGGCCAGGCTGGATGCCACATGCCCGCGGGGACTGGGGAAACGCTGACTTTTTCTGCTGTGTGCTCCCATCCACCTGCCAGGCAGCTCCCAGCAGGGCAGACGCATGGCTGGCAACCTCGGTGCCGTCTTGTTCCTAGGAGTGCACAGACCAGCGGTGGCCACGGGACAGCCATGCAGGCGGCAACACCCACAGGGAACCAAGACCAGATAGCAGGCCCAGCTGTGACAGTGGTCCGACATGAGGACCCGCCTGCTCTGTGCACACCTGGACACTGCCTACAGGATGTGTGACGAGGGAGGGAAGGAAGGGGACCAGGCGAGTGGGCAGTGTAGCTCAGTAGCAGGCATTGGCCTGCACCAGGACTGTGTGTGTGCGTGCATGTGCATGTGTGTGTGTGTACTTTGCGGTGTGTGCCTGGGAGGTGTAGGGTGTTTGTGGGTGCAGTTTGCTTGTGTGTATAGTATGTGTGTGTGTGTATGCATGCTGCAATGTATGTGTGTGTGTGTGGTGTGTGTGAAGGTGGTGTGTTGTGTTCGTATGTGGGCTGTGTAGTGTGGGGTATGTGTGTAGGGGTGTTTGGGGGGGTATGAGGTATGTGGAGTGTGTGGGGGCTGTGTAGATAGTATGGCACATAGTGTAGTGCGGGTGTGTGTAGAGTATGTTCCGTGTTTGTATGGGATGTGTGTGTGTGGTGTGTGTTTGTATGGGGGGTATGGGATGTGTGTGAAGTGTGTGGGGGGAGGGGTGTTGTGTTTGGGATGTGTATGGGGGTGTCTGTGGGGGGGTGTGGGATGTGTGTGAGGTGTGTTTGTGGGGGAGGGGTGTTGTGTGTGAGGTGTGTGTTTGTTGTGTTTGTGTCTGTGTGCTGGTAGGAGTAGGGACATAGAAGGTCAGACTGTAGGGTTCCCTTCTTAAAATTACCAAAAAATTATAAATATGCTCATAGGTTTAGAGAACAAAAGAACAGGAGCAGGGGTGCTGAGGGTCAGGGTGGGGGGACAGAGCTCTGCTGAGAGGCTCTCTGCACCCATGAATCCGCAGCCCAGCCCCCAGGAGGGCATTAGCCTCGCTTTCCAATGAGAAGACGGAGGCTCCCTCTCCCTGCCCCTCACACCTCACCAGACCCTGTCCATGGCTGCCCATTTCCTTCCCCACCCTCCGCTCCACGGGCCCTGGGAGCCGCACACCTAGGCCACTCTGCCTCCTGCGGGCTCCCGCCTGCCCGCCCTCCCATCCTTCCCAGCCTTCCACTCAGCAGCCATCCCAGTGATGTCCATGGAGATAAAATCCTCCTTGTGGTCCACAAGGCCTTCCCCCATGGGCCACCACCTGCTGTCAGGCCTCAGGCCCCTCCCCCGCTGCGCCACATCCAGGAACTTCCCTGGGTCCCCAGGGTGCTGACTGCCTCTCCCCGCCTGCCGCCTGCCGTGGCCGCAGGGAAGCTCCGTGGAAAACCCGGCCCCCCTCTGGCCCTCCGCCTGGTGCATCCCACCTTAGCTGTTAGTTATGGGATGTGTGTGTGTGGTGTGTGTTTGTATGGGGGGTATGGGATGTGTGTGAAGTGTGTGTGTGGGGAGAGGCTTCCTCCAGGGAGGCCTCCCTGATGCCCAGACCACGCTAGGGGCCCCACCGTTAGACTGCAGTCTCCCTGAAGGCAGGGTCTGCTTTCGGCACAGAGGTTAGTGCCCAGTAGATGATAAATGAATACTGGGGAACATGACAGAATACTACACGGCTGTTTTTAAAAGAAGAGTGATGAAATGGTCCACGTGGTGACATGGGATAGACAGATATCTGAGGGGCGCCATTACGTGAAAAGGCAACGGCAGAGCCCGGAGTGTAGTCGGCTGTCTGTTCTGTAAGAGGCTGCCTCTCACATTCACTGCTACTTGTACGTAAAGAAAACTCTAGGACAGTGGTTCTCAACCTTCCTGATGCCACAGCCCTTTAATACATTTAGTTCATGTTGTGGTGACCCCTGACCATAAAATTGTTTTCGTTGCTACTTCATAACTGTAATTTTGCTACTGTTATGTCTTAGGTGACCCCTGTGAAAGGGTTGTTCGACCCCCAAAGGGGT